TACTTACCTAACGTTACCGTTTACGTTAAAGTTAACGTACGTTAACTTAGTAATAGTAAGTAATAGTCTCTACTACTAGTCTTAAGTTTTAGTTAAGTTAGTATGCATGACTCTCTCTCTCTCTCTCTCTCTCTCTCTCTCTCTCTTTTGTTCTTTAATCATATTCAATGGTTGACACTAGGATAAACATTTGACACAGGAAACATGGCATGCAACTCGGCTGCTGCAAGAGTACGGTGGTCACAGCTCATGTGAAGAAATGAAAGGCAACAGTCTTCACAGCACAGAGGCCAAATCCTCTATTCTCAGTTCTCACCAGGCTTTTTGTAACTCTAGATACTCAGGGCGCCCTGATAGACCATCGCACCCAGCCACAAGCCCAGGTCCATTTAACTCCACCCCTAACTTCAGATGTCCCCCCTATGGTTTTCTATAGTCTCTCTGTCTCTCTCTCATATTCTGGGTAGGTGTAGGCAGGGAATTTGAATCTGAAACCACCTTGGGGTTTTGAGCAAACAGCATCATATCCCGAAGGTTAAAGTGTGAGATCCTTTTAGATTTTTTGTACCATATGTCAAGGAAGTTGTGAACTGTGCTCGTATCTATGCATTCACAATACAGTGTAAAAATCTCTTAGAAAAAAGAAAAGGGAAGAGGGAAAAAGGTTATGCATAGGCATCCAAATTTTGCGTTTCTTCATCAGTGATGTGGATATGGTGGTTTCTTATAGAAGCATAAGATTTTTCACGTTAGTCAGCATTTTAATACTCGGACGAGACCATTTGGACTCAGCCGAGTAACTTGGCCTCACCCTATGGGTGAGGCGAGTTTTTAGTTCAATTTTCTTAACCGCTCAAATTTACGTCGAATGTGTTATAAAGTCTTTCTGGTTAGTATTACACCCCCCCCCCCCCCCTGGTCAGGCTGTCAGGGTTTGAACCCTACTGTTGTACACTACTTTTAAAAAAGTTTTCATTTTTTATGTTCTAAAAAGTATCATTTTTTACGTTCCAAAAAATTGAAACCATATTTTAAGTTCCAAAAAATTGAAGCTCCAACAAGACTTGAACTCAAGACCTCGTAACGAGGTCCATAAACACAACTGCACGAGGTCCATAAACACAACGCTGCCCGAGGTCCATAAACACAAGGCGTACTAACCAGCACGCCATTTTACGGTGTATTCTTGTAATATATAATCATTATTTATCTTCATTTTTTTTTTTTTTTAAAGTTAGACTTTGGGGAGTTACTCAAATTCGCTCGAGTAAATTGCCTCGGCAAGGGCCCGAGTACCTTGGCCGAGTTGATTCTTTTAATACTGACGCTAGTTCTCATAGTTGCAGTTGAGGAGGTTCTTTTTGTTGTATTTTTCCAACATCTCTTAGCTTTAGAATAGATTAAATAACCATTGTCTTCATATAACCATATTTGCTAGTTTACATAAACAGAAAACTGTAATATGTGTAGTGACATAGAAAACTCTAATTCAAAGAGACGCCAGACTGAAGATATGAAAAAGTTATGACCTTTATTAGATTCAAATCCAAACAAATTCTAAGCTGCCCGGTTTAGGCATACGAATTTTTAGTGATAAGATCATTTCTTTATGTATTCATACAAGAATGATAAGCATCCACGTTTGATCCAACATTTTTCACAAGTTAACGTGTTTTTTGTAGTCCTTTTTTAACCCATGTTAGTGAAACACCCATGAAACGAAGGGAATTTTTTTTTTAAGAAGTATTTTTTAAAAAAAATCTAAAAGAAGGCAAATCTCAGGTTTTTCCCCTTACTTGGTTCATACTATTCATCGAGGAGTCTAGATTTTGTAATCTGGGTGTGGTTTGAATGAATTGTAACTTTAAGCAATTAATGTAAGGTGTGCCACCAAATTTTATTATAAGATTAATTTTGGTGTAAAATTTTTTTAGGATAGCTTAAGAATTTTCATCTTTAATTATAAAATTTTTAACTAAAATTAGTTCAAATAAGGTAAATCTATAAACATATGAAAATTTTGAAAAAAGACGGTCCAACAAGTGTGTTGCAAGATGCACTATTTTTGAGACTCAATTTTTTTTTTACTTTTTCATATTCATACATCTCAATGTCGAGATGATCAATTAGAGGTTTAAGACTTGGAATAGCACACGGGGCTGGCAATAGTTAGGGCCTAGGCCAGCCTAGCTCTACCCCAGCCATGCCTTGACCTGGCCCTTGAGCTTCATTTGTGGCCCAAACCCTAGTTTTTAGAGCAAGGTTGAGCAGCCCATTACCCTAACAATACGCAAGTACGAATGGCAATGGGCTGACTAGCCTGACCCATTGGATTGGACTTGAAAACTAGGGCCCGTGCTAGAGGAGCGCACTAGGGCCTATACAACTGTTAGAATTTGTGGGAGCATAGAATGGAGAGAGAAGAAGAGAGAACACATCATTTACGTGATTCAAGCCGAAGCCTTAAGTCTACAGAACCAAAGCCTAAGTGGCTAAATCTTCATTATTTGGATGAATCTTTACATCAAGAAGTACCAAGAAGTACATCTTCATTATTTGGATGAATCTTTACATCAAGAAGTACCAAGAAGTACCTCTATATATAGAGGGCAATAATACAATTAGAAGAGATAATTACGGTATGATAACTTGATGACCAAGTAACTTGGTATCTATCTTCTAGATACCTAACCTTATCAAGAGATATATCAATATGAATCCAAGATATCCATATCCCAACACTCCCCCTCAAACTCAAGATGCTTCGATACAAAGCAGCTCGAATTTGAACAATACTAAGTTGTCAAAAAATAAAAATACAAATCACATGTTACCATGGTCTTCCAAGAAACAACCTTTCTTGGGCTCTCTACTTTCTTCTAGAGACTTTCTCTCTCTAGGGTCTTCCAAAAAACAATTTTTTTTGGGCTCTTTACTTTCTTCTCTTAAGGTCTTCCCTCTTCAGAAGCTTCTCTGAAGATCTCTCTCTTTAGAGGCTTCTCTGAAGATCTTCTCTCTTCAGAGGCTTCTTTGAAGATCTTCTTTTTTCAGAGGCTTCTCTGAAGATCTTCTCTCTTCAGAGGCTTCTCTGAAGATCTTCTCTCTTCAGAGGCTTCTCTGAAGATCTCTCTTTTCAGATACTTATTTTCTTTCTAGAGGCTTTCTCTCTTTAAAAGAAAATGATATTTCTTTCTCTCTCGTCGAAACATCCTAGATCGAGTAACGAAAAAATCGACGATCATCACACACGATGGAGCAACGAAAAACTTTGTCATCAAACAAGATCAAGGAACGGAAAACTTGATCATCAACTAGGATCGAGAAATTCGATCATCTTCATCTCCTCATTTGGAGACGGAACTCTTGAAGAATTCGATCATCTTCATCTCCTCATCTGGAGATTGGAACTCTGGAATCAATATAACCATAACTTCCCTTTGCATAGTAGTTGGACTGAGCCAGAATCTGGATTTTCTTTAGCAGTTACATTGGAGATGTTGAGTTCATCTCTACTCATCTCATCTCCATATCTCCTATACCCTCCTTCTCAAGTTGGGTGTAGATGCGAATAAACACCCAACTTGCAAAATATAAATTTTTTTTTTCTCTTTTGAGTACAATTATATAAAAAAAAATGCCAATGAAATTGAGCTTCTAGACAATAGCCTACATCGTAAAAAAAATATGACCTCTCTTTTTCTTTTCTTTCTTCTTCTTCTTCTTTTCTTTTTTTTTTTTTTTTTTTTTTTTTCTCAACAACCCCAAAACAAAGATACTTTTTTTTTTTGCATAATCATCACAATTCAATATTTGATAAGTTTTTCCAACTTTTGCAATTGAACCTCTTCTTCCTCATCTTTTCCTCCTTTTTCTCTCATCAAGGAATTACTCCCCTCTCTCCATCACCTTGTTTCTCCAAAGATCGGACTTTCTCACTCAACACTTCTTCCAAATAACACATGCTTGTAATAAATCTTCTGGCGCAATCAACTCAGTTCCTCTGGCACGATTAAAAAAAAGACAATAAACATCATAAACGCCATCGGATTTCCCAATACCACTTCTGTTGAAACCTCTGGCTTTCACAAAACCAGAGACCCTAATTGTGGCTTTCGAAGGCAAATTCTCAAGGCCGAGACAATATCAAGTCCGATGAAAGTTTTTATGGGCTAGAATGTAGAGATGAAAACTCTCGGTGGTGGACTAGAGGGCTCCGGTAGAGGAGCAAATCAGATTTTTCTTCTTTGCTATGAAATTTCCCGACTTCAGATTTGAGGTTGGCGAGCTTAGATTTGAGCCGAGGAGCATACATGTTAAAATTTCGTTCTGATACCATGTTAGAATTTGTGGGAGCATAAAATCGCGAGAGAAGAAGAGAGAACACAACATTTATGTGGTTCAGGCCGAAGCCTTACGTCTACAGATCCAAAGCCTAACTGACTACATCTTTATTATTTGGATGAATCTTTACATCAAGAAGTACCTCTATCTATAGAAGACAATAACACAATTATAAGAGAATTACGGTATGATAACTTGATGACCAAGTAACTTGGTCTCTATCTTCTAGATACCTAACTTTATCAAGAGATATATACATATACATCCATAATGATGTACATCAATATGAACCTAAGATATCTATATCCCAACAACAACCATGTACGAGCCGCGCTTGGGCTGGCCATCGGGATCATGGCCAGATTAGAGCCAGGAATAGCCCACCACAGACCCGACCAACCCTATACACAAGCGACCAACTTGCAAGCTCCATAAGGTCACTTCATTGATCATCTCAGCTTGAACATATTAGATGATTAAGATTTTAAGATCTAAGAATTGTGTAGGTTATAACAAATTATCTAGACAGTCTATTTCACCCTAAAAATAAGTGTTTATCGTTCCACAAGATTTGTAACATTTTTTTACTTTCAAATTTTATTTTCGGCGTTACAAATTGATTTAGATCTATCATGGAGATTTCCGTTGCTGAAAGTGCTTTCTAGACAAGGATTTGAGGTGAGGCTTTATTTTGTTTTTATAAAGCCTAGGCCTTATAGAAACTTCATCCTAGATAAAATGAAGAAAAATATATAATAACACCATTACTTTTGATATAAGGACGTCACAATTAATCTTGACAGTCAGATGTGAAATTCGGTAGTAACATTTGTTCCAGTAACTAAGGTTAAAGTTCAAATGAAAATTTTTCGAATTTTGTAATATACCCAAGCCATCAAATTTCATATTGGATGTTTAATAGCTGTGACTTTCTTATACCATAAATAAATAAAATCGTTGTTTAGAACCCCGTAAGTAAAAAAAAAAGAAAAAGAAGGAGAGGAAGAACTATTTTAATGACACTAATTATTACTACTAGGAATAGATGCCACTTAGTAACGAATAGGCGGATGTTCAAACAAAGGCCTAAGGTGTTGTGACAGCTAGAATGCGTAAAATTGTTTGCAATGTTACAAGACTCGTCTGGCCAAGGTACTGGGGTGAGATCGCGTGACGCCCCTGTATGGGACAGGGCCAAAAAGTTTTGGAAAAATATATTAAAAAATATAAAAAATTAAAATAAATGTAGTAGAAGTAAAACAAAACTTGAAAAGTTCAAATATACTTACAGAAAAGTATATAAAAATAGATATAATAAAATTGATTTATAGTTGGGGACATTT